CGTCGGGAAATAGATGCAGATATAAAAAGGATGAATAACAACTGAAAAGAGCTGGAAAGAATTGCCCAGGACAGGATAGGATGGAGAGTGCTGATGGACGGCGTATTCTCCTCTACGAGGAGTGACAGGAGTAAGTAAGTAAGTACTTATCTAGTCAGTGATCGTATTTGAATACAATAAACTAGCCAGTAAATGTTTCATGGCTCGTTGTTCACTTCGAATAAATAATTACAATAATTGATGGTACTAATAAGACATGTATCCTTATTTACTTTGTATATAGTCTATTAACTAATCTGTTTAACAGTAATATGGATAATAAAGTCGAATACAAGTTGTATCTAGTAAAAATCTATTTCATACATGCAAATAATAAACGACATACTAGCAATAATTGGTGCGAAGAATGTGTAAAGTATTGGGGTTCGGCAATGCACTGACTCAGAAAATATTGGAATGATTTAATGTTTATAAGCATGTACAAAACATAAAAATTAAACAGATATATACGTAAGACCTAGTATACAACTATAAAAATACCTTACGATATAGATGACTTATTAACAAAGTCAAGTGTTCAAAATAACCGACAAGATAAAAAGGAATAATCTATTCAGAAATTAGAACGACTCACGTGAGTGTTAGAATGAGTGTGGCATAGCTACTTTAACTAACATACTAAGTTAAATATTTACTCATAGATTCATACTTCTATGGTGTCCCATACAAGGATGATACAACAGTCTCATTCATCCTGGTTTTCATTGGTTATTCATTTAAAATCAGTCCATGATGTAAACTATAAAATCTAACATCTTCCCTAAATCTCCCACTCCAACCCTATAGTATTCTTTCATCATTTAAAAATAACTTTATATTCTATATTCGATTGTTGGATTTTTCTTAAATGTCTATTACTGATCAAATTATATATATATATATATATATATATATATATATATATATATATATATAAACCTGCATTGAATTACACTTAATTAGTCAAATAACAGTATTAACCATATGTCTTATATTTATGAAACAATATAACATAATAAGCCTCGTGATCCTATACCATATTTGCATAGTGATAACTGTATAATAAACACGTACATGCCCTGTAGGGTTATTCACTTTAATAAATTGTAAGAACGAATAATAAACTATGACACTTAGTGATAGGTAATAGTATATGTTTTCTATAAACTATACAATGTCCATAATCGTTAACTGAATATAAAAATATTTCTTTTTTTAAAAAAAATAAACATTCATATTATAAGATACTTAAATTACATTATTTGATTTTTTTTTGTTTTCTCTAAAATTAAAAAAAAAACAGTCCATCTTGGCAACTAAATATTGATTAATTGTATTATAAAATGTTTTACAGATTTATCTAAGAGTAATGAAACATATGGTTTAACAAAAAAAAATTAATAAATTGATTAATCATTTTAAAATGTTTAAATGAACATAAACATGAAAAATTCATTCAAACACAATGCAATTAGAATTATTTTTGTGTAAGTATAAAATGTAACTCTACCCCCCCCCACTGCTGAGGTTTCTACCGGTCCGAAACCCGGAAAAAAGGAGGGTTGAACATGAGGTTAACGACCTCATCCCATAAAAAACTAACCAGAAAAAATTATAGAATGTTATGTGTTGGTGATCTACCAATTAACTGTTTAACTTGACATATGTGGAAATAAGTAAAAATTTACAATTCATTGATAACTGTGTAGTGACTAGTGTTGTGTAGGTGTGTAAAGTCTTTCTTAGTGTAGATTTAATATTATCGAGCAAGTTGCAATTTGGCCATGCGCTATGTTGAAATTTTGGTGACCCTATATCTGACTCTAGGTCGTTTGCATAAATGATTGTTATTGAAATACATATATTCTGGTATATAATTATCGACTTAATCCGCGTTGGTGAATAACCGAACTAAATAAACCAAATACGAGAATGGATTTCGAATACGTATACTTTGTACAATCATTTATCGGAACAGACAATCAGAGAGATGTTGTGAAGGAAGCGAAGAAGAAGAGAGAAAAATGAAACAAAATGGCGCTCAGTCGAGAAGGTCAACTGGATTTAACCAAGCGTTAATTGATATTTATAGCCGAAGAAAAATAAGTTACAGATATGTAATGGGTAAGATAGGAAATGAACACACATATTTTTACATAAAAACAGTCAAGGTTGACTGTTGATAAGTGAATAATTAACATGGTCAAAACGTGACCCTAAACCTACGTTTCGTGTTATTCGGCACTTTGACATTTAGTATTATTTTCAATAGTTGATGCATGCCGGCCGTCTCAGTGGTCTAGTGGTTAAGCAATCGTGCACGAGACTGATAGGTCCTGGGTTCGAAACTCGCGAGGCGGGATCGTGGATGCCCAGTGCCAAGGAGTTCCACAATAGGACGAAACGGCTGTCCAGTGCTTCCAGGTTTCCCATGGTGATCTAGCTTTAATTGAATCATGATTTCAACCATTGAAATTACTAAAATATCCACAACAACCCTTCTGATTTAGCAGTATTGTCAAATCCAGTCTTTAACCACTTTTGCTTAGGATGAATTTCTTTCATCTCAGAACACCTAAACAATATTCAATTTACAGTGTAAAAATATCAATTCTAAGGTTTTAAAAGTGAATTTTGACAAAATTATTATTATCAGAAAGAGTTTTGTGGATATTATAGTATTTTTAATAGAGAAGATCATGAGTCAATTGAAGCCGGATCATCATCGAAAACCTGGGAGCACTGGACAGTCGTTTCGTCCTATTGTCGGAGTCCTCAGCAGTGCGCATTCAAGATCCCGCCTTACGAGATCCGAACCCAGGAACTATCGGTCTCGGACGCGAACACTTAACCTCTAGACCACTGAGCCGGCACCCAAAAGTGTTAATGTCTAACGATTCGTTACTTTATTAGCGTACATCGGAAGGTACCCTTTGGTATGTTACGAAATGCTCCAGAATGAACAACCTATGTAGTTTGCTTCAAAATAAACATGTAAACAAGAATCTGTACATCGAATCGGTTTTTTTCCAGGTATTTAATACTTCAGACACAAATGTATCAGAATACCCATATGGATGTTGTAATGTGTTTGTCTTAGTGACTTAAAAGTATGATCATTACTGAGCTCCAGAACATTCAATATTTTCGTTATATGTTTAGTATTTACATTAAATGTAATCTGAGTTGTTGAGTACTTATCTCAATAAACTGAATGTCAAATATCAGACACAACAGTCAGTCTCTACGATGATCTAGTAGTATACGTCTCCCCATTTATACTGAAACTAAATTCAAAGAAGAAGATCTACTTCAAAAGAAAGTGAGATGATCTGCTAAAGAAGACCAGATTGATAATATGATACCACATGGACAAAAGGATAAATGAGAAATCTATGTATCAGTAGGTTTATTATGTATGAATGGATTTTTCATTTAAATAAGTTTATTGCCAACAAATTCATATCTGGATCAGTCTAGTATTAGATATATATGTATATACATAATTTGTGTACATGTTCATCTTCAGGATGTCAAAGACCCTATTCAAAAAACACAAATCTAGCCTTTCTTTGTTACTTCTAATATTATTTACATGTTTTTTTAATTTTAGTCATCACGTAACTATCATAAATTGAAAAAAGTACCTTCCGATCAACTTGAATTTGAACATTAAATGTACCTAAATAAATGGTTGCTCTGGTTATCAGAAGGGGCATCAGCCTCGTAACTTCCGAAGGAAATCGGCTTTCATCATGGACGTCATAACTCTTCTAAATGAAACCCTTCTAACTCCCAGCGCAGAGCTTAAATGGTTTGAATTATTTTTTCTAGTTAGCGTTTTTTAGCGAGTTAGTTTTCTGCGAAATGAGGTCATTAACCCCATACCCATTCATCCTTCTTTATCCGGGCTTGGGACCGACAGTAGCCTCAAAGGGGCTCCAGGAGTAGGAAACAAACCGGATTCCAGCGGAGGAAGAAGTGCTAGAAGTGGATAAAACACAAATTGAGGAAGGCACCTAACTCCATTTCAAGGCAAGCCCTCACATGGAATCCTCAAGACCAAAGGAGAAGAGGAAGATCAAAGGACACATTACACCGAGAAGTGGAGGCAGAAATGAGAAGAATGAATAACAATTGGACAGAACTAGAAAAGAAGGTCCAGGACAGAGTGGGTTGGAGAATGCTGGTCGCTGGCCTAGCTCCATTGGGGGTAAGAGGTGTAAGTAAGTAAGATTTGTAGGCAATTTTAAAGCAAAATATTTGTGATTATCAAACAAATGATATTCCAATTCCTCTCTTTCTCTCTCTTCCCACCGACCATGTATGTATATGATCAAAAATCGATGCATTCTAATTGAGGAAATAACGAAAATATCTTCTATCGAACCACGTGGATCAAACTATCAAATTTAAGGAAGTAATTTTTTGATTGAGATCATGAACCGATTGATGTTAGATCACCATTGAAAACCTGGAATCACTAGACGGCCGTTTCGTTCTATTGTGGGACTCCTTCTTGGCAGTGTCCATCCACGATCCCGCCACCTTCGCGGAATTCGAACCCAAGACCTATCAGTCTCGCACGTGAACACTTAAACTCTAGACCACTGAGCCGGCATCCAACTGTATTAATATCTAACTTAAACCAACCCACGAAATTGAGCGACCATCTTCCATTGTATTGAGTCAGACACCTGTCTCTACTCGACATAGATTAGCTCCACTGGTTATGGCTTCATACTAGAACTTCGAGAATTTCCTCACAAAGCTAATCACTAGTGAACACATGGTACTTATACTGTTAAAAAAGTAATTTTGTACATGTAAAATATGTTTATTTAAAAATCGACTAATTTAACAATAAACATTTTAATATTTATTCAATAAGAAATAGTCTTACATGTATTGTACATTTGAAAACTTATTCTCTTTTGTTTTGTTCTTCTTCAAAAGAAGAAGAAGAAGAAGAAGAAGAAGAAGGACATTACTGATTCCTATACATATTTACATATTATATAGTATACTGAGATGATGAGTAAATACTTGGTGAAAGCATAGAATTTAATCGAAACATTGAATTTAATTGTGGATCTATAAAATGATGATTCATTGTATTTAATTGATTAAAATTTTCTACAGATAAATAATTCGATAAATAACTATGAGAAGATGAATCAAAATGCTTGAAATGTGTACTTTGATTGTTAATCATTAAATTATTATGATTGTTGCTAGGTCGATTGTTACTAAGATTATTATTATTAAAGATAATAGTATTGTTTTTATTAGAAGAACAATCATTTATTAAATTATTTATTAAATGAGGATCAAGAAATGAAAATAATGGTTTTAGTGTTGAATCAATAGAATTATTCGATACAATATTAATTTTATCATTGATATTTTGTATAGGCATAGAAATTTGACCAATTTGTTCATTGTTACTTCTGTTATGATCTCCAGACGATACTAACAATGATGAATTGGTAACTGACTGTATTATGGAATTAGTTGATGTTGGATAAATGAATGAAGTTGATGAACAAGGAGATAAAGAAGTTGATTTCGTTACTAATGAAGAGAGGATTGGTGGTGATAATGAAAATAGTGAGGAGTTTATCGAAGATATTATTGAATCCGTAGAAACAGTTGAGTATGGATATTCAGTAGGATTAGTTGGTTTGATGGATTCATTTTGACATATTGAACGGCTTTTTGATATAATATCTAACTTTTCTTGTAGATCATTTAAGCTTTTTGTAAGAAGAAGGATGTAATTTCTCGCCAATAATAATGTTGCAATTTTAGATAATTTTTTCATAGATGAATTTTGTGTGTATGGTAACACAGACCTAGAAATATAAGAATAACTGTTTAAATCTATATATATATAAAGCAAGCATAAAAGACAAGTGGTTACATAATAGTTAATGAAGGAATTTAACTGCATACTCGTTAAATAAGATCATCTAGAAACCAAAGAATCCCTTATTCTTAATCGCTTATTGACGATATTATTGATGGTCACTTTTGAATATTAGAACTCGTCATGAACTCTATCTGACTTTTATTGATCAATTCAGGAAATAGTAAACAAAAGTTTAGTACTAATTAAAAACTGATTGAGTATATTTTTAAGCAAAGATGAATAGTGGATATGTAGTGGAATCTAAGACACGCGTTTTGTCAAATTCGGGACTCCTCAGCTGGGATGTACCTGCATGTCAGAGTTGATGTTCACTCTGCGACTCGAAACCAGTAATGTTTGCTTCAAACGCCATCGCGTTATCTACTTAGCTACTGAGTCCTGATAGCTACCTACTTTTGCAAAGAGGTGATGGTTAAATTCACTTAGTGTTGTTTTACTTGTGTTTTCCCACTGTTATTTAGGAGTGCAATAGATCAGTCTCATGTTGGCATATGTGCATCCTGTGCGGATTGCCCTGATATAGCCTTAAGTCACAAGTTCTCAAGGTAATTGAATAATTTTTTAGTAAAACCTAGAATGCTGGTCGACGGCCTATTCTCCATTAGGAGTAACAGGCGTAAGTAAGTAAATAACCTAGAATAATGATCGTAGCAGAACAGTATGTATGCACTGATTTTGAGTTCCAGAGTGAACATCAACTCTGGGATGCAGGTACATCTAGCTGACGAGTACCGAATAGGAGGAAACGCGAGTCAAACTGGATTCCACTACTAACCACCATTCATCTTTGCTTAAAAAGCTTGTGATTTAAGAGTACATTGAGGCAATTTACACAGGATGCACATATGCTAACATGAGACTGATCAATTACAGTCCTAAATGACAATGGGAATATACAAGTAAAACAAAACCAGGTGATTCAGTATAGTCCAGTGAGAAAGCATCAAAGTCTTTTAAGTTCTATTTCAAAATGACTAATAGAAGGTGTAAACATGAAGAAGAATTTTTATCATGTGATCCTTTGTGTTATTTGCATAAAACAATAGTACGCTCACTTATAGTGATTTAATAATCACTCAGAATTAAGATTGAATTAAAATTAGTTTATTCTTAGAGTGAGATTTCAGAAAGTATTCTCCACCTTCTTGAAAACGAAATTGGGCCTCTGAAGGGTCTGAAAAAAACACGTTTCTGTATCAAAATATTTAGCCAATGTTTATTGTTCAGTTGTACTTAAACAAGAATATTCCTTATAAATGTCCAACATAAATCTAATCCAGTAACTGCCCTCAAGGAAGGAAGTATTCCAGTTTCTTCTTACTTGATATTATGACAACCAATAATTGATTGATTTATTTCATACTAAATCAAAAAGATTAATATTTTTAAGGGTTTAGATCTTCTTGTTGTTGATATTCATAACCTACACGGTTCAATTCCTATTAGCATTAGAGGTTAATCTTACGAATGACCGCTCTCTCTGTCATTCTACATCGATTCTGTAATTAGGGAGTCGTTATAGTAAATTAATTAGAATAAGTAATATCAAATAGATTACATTTACCATCTACCTCAATCCATCCATGGCTAAATTTAAATCATGCATTCTTTGTCTTTCACGTTGATTAATATTTAAACGCAACTCTTGTAATTCTTCATCTGTAACTGGAGGTAGCATATCAGTAGTAATTGTATGGTTCTCTAAATTATGAGTATCACACACATTCAAATCCACATTCAATAAATCCGGATGATCAGTTTTTATTTTATTATTAGTTTCCTTTGCAAGATTACGTAACTGCATGGTTTCACGTTTCCTTTTATTGATTAATTTAGCCAATAAACGAGATTTGGATCTTATTGAAGTAGTTCTCTTTGAAATTAAATTTAATGATTCAGTATTGATGTTATCAAAATTGGTATTCTTATGTAAATAATTATCAGAAACTTTAATTTGCATGGAATTTCTTTCTGTATTTTCTAAATTATTTACACTGTAATTCATAGAAGGGGAATGTAAGCTTATCCGTTTTGTAAATCTTAGATGATATTTTAATGATTAGTTACTGTTCATTTATATACAAATACGCTTATTGATTTGTTATATGATTGGTTTATATTTACTTGTCTAGTATTGGCCAAGTAAGATTAGCCAATAGGCGCAGTTGTTGTACGAACCAATCAAAATGGAAGACAATTGTCTAAAAGCAATTCGAATAGTAATATGGAAATTTGCAGAGACTTTTCATAACAAGGGTGAGGATATTAAGTACCGGTTAACATCATACCATAAAAGAAACATAACTATGCAACCGGTGAAATTCGATCAATAAAAAACTGAGCAGAATAACAATTAATTACCCATTTACTCCCTGATCATGGCCCTCCGGCTTTTCAATGTTAAGCTTGCTTTCACGCACAACGTAATGAGTACAGTCTATCTATTACTGTTATATAGTATATTTTTAATAACAAACCCTCTGCAACAGATTGGTAGCATGTCTGATTTCGTCTATGGTTGTCAGGTGTCTGGGTCCTTTCAAAAACATTACTGATATCCCCTACTGCTGGGCACTCAGTATTAATTTGACTCGTTGATGGGATACTTACTTACTTACTTACTTACTTACTTACGCCTGTTACTCCTCGTGAAGGAGCATAGGCCGCTCACCAGCATTCTCCATCCAACCCTGTCCTGGGCAATCTTTTCGTTGATGGGATAGGGTTTTTCATAATACTGAAGAAAATAACAAACCGGAGATCGTTTTTCTTTCATTGCTCCCGATAACATCATAAATGACAGTTAGGAACGAATATGTGGATAGTTAAAATCCCAGGTGGCAGCAACACCTATTTTAGCTAGAAAAACTTTGATTTCAAGATCTACAATATAATACTCAAAACAAAACGGACTAACATTTTATAACATAAAACAAGCGAGCACGCCTGAAGAAATACATTGACTTGAGTAGCCGCAGCAAAAACCAAGAAAACAAAGCTGATTCAATGAAAGTTTGCGACAACACTTGGAGTATTATATTAACCGCGGAATTTTAGCACACTGAAACATTAAATTATGCAGCTACACAAAAAAAAAAAACAGGATAAAAACAGGAAAGCTGACCTCCATTGCCTACAAAGATGGCAGATATAATAATTTCCGCTTCATTCAGATTGGTCACTAAGCCGACTGCCACGATTACGAAATCGAGTTGGGTTTAATTACAGCCAAAGCATTTAGTTAGATAAGAATTAACAAGCCTTTCTACTGGATAAGTAGTCGTCAGTGTAGTGTTTATTCTGTGATTATTGATTCGTTGACTGAATGTTTTAATTTCGTGTGTTCAAGATTCTCTATAAACATGTTACCTAAAATTGACCGACCCCATCAATTTAGTGATACACCAAATTATTAGACTGAAATTTTTATACATTTAAAACACATCAGTAAATCTGTTTGAATTCTTCGCACAATATGCATAGAAAGTCAAGATATTAACATATATTTATAATAGTTTCTTCCGAAGGAATTAATCAGTTACTTGATTAATTTGATTTGTAAATTATTAAATGTTACCCTCTCAAGATCAAGCTGAAGTTTGATTTCACTGATGTTCATCGGCACTGTGTAGTAGTTACAACGAGCTACCGTAGGTGTGTGTACATTTTTTTTATCCCATTACTCATCACATGCCTGTAACTTAATTTTGTATAACTGTAATGATTGATTAACGTTTGGTTAAATGGGTGTTGGCTTCGCTTTCTTCTCTTCGCATCGTTTTCCCGTTCGTTTGTCTGATCAACGATTATACAAAATATATGTATCAAAAGTCCATTCTCGTTATTTGACTTATTTAATTTCGTTTTTAACTAACGCAATTTAAACCAATGATTATATACGAGGATAGGCGACATATATATTTCGACAACGATCAGTCATACAATCCACTTGGAGCCAGATCTCGGGACACTAAACTGGAGAATCCTTCGATAACATCGTCCGATCTAAATGACGACAAAATAAAGGACCCGACAAAAAGTGGTGAGCCCGCCACCACCGATGAACTCAACGGGCTCTAAAATGGCATTTTTATCCAAATACCATTTTCGGAAGGTCATAAGTTTAATCACTTTTGATAATTTTCAGACAATCTTCCATTCAAAATAAACTAAATTCATACTTGTGAATCAAATTGAATGTCCACTTTGGGATGATAACATTTTGAATCCGATTTGCGAAATGGCCACTGTTTCGATGTATTAAACTCCTGAAGGTGAGTGTGAAAGAGCCAATTGTTGTGAGCTGAAAGCCGGCTTGTTATCACGTAATTTATTCGCCAATCGAAATACGATTTCTTCAATCTTAGTACTGTGCTAAACCATTGATGTTCGAACGGTATGAACAGCCTAGCGTCCCTGTTGGTAATTTTTTGCTTCTAACCCTTGTAGTACAGTTCAGGACACCAATACCAGCTTCCATTATGCAAACCATTTATTTCAAATTTAGTTGGTTTATATACCAGCCAAAAAGATCGCTCTACATCATAAAATAGGAAATAACATTTATACAAGATCAAGCCGAAATTGGCTGTGAACGTGGGAGACAGGAATTAATAAACTGAACATAGCTTATGAACAGTAAACCGTATAATAATGGTCGATGGGTTAAAATGAAGCTTATAAGAAGAGGAATATAGATATGCATAATCTAATTACTTAATAATTATAGCATAAGAATATATGTATGATATTTGTCCATCAATAGTCCTCAGATGGTACCCGCAAATTTAACATTAACTAGGATATGACATTACTCAATGCGCTATTAAGGTATTTTACTATAGGATCAACATATACAACTTCGAGAAAAATGACAAAATTAAATTAAAACACGGTTTTTTTTTCTTTTTATCTAAATGGATTTCTAATGTAATGCACTAGTAAATAAAAGTTTATTCATTTGAATTCAATAACAGCTGAAGTTTACTTATCATTATTGTAGAAATAAGAACAGTATTTGACAGCCAAAAATGTATCCTAAGCATTCTGACTATTCGTTAGTTATCAATATATATTATTCATTCATAACAATCTATCCAATGCCCAATTTATTGGAAATTATCAAATAAAACATTGGTAATGATACTTAATTATCAGTAGTTGAGATCACAAATCAGTTAAAGTTAGACTACCATGGAAAACCTGGGAGCACTGGACGTTCGTTTCGTCCCAGTAAGGGACTCCTCAGCAGTGCTCATCCACCATCCCACCACCTCATGAGATTTGAACCGACAACCTATCAGTCTCGCGTGCGAACGCTCAACCACTAGACCACTGAGCCGGCTGACATCCAACGGTATTGATATCTAACTTCAACCAATCTACGAAATTGAGCAACACATCTATCATTGTCATCGGTGAGTTATTATCTCACAACAGACTTGGTTGAAGTCCACTGGTCACTGCTTCTCACTTAAACTCCAGGAAATAACTCTTGAAATCAGTCACTAGTGAGCATATGTTGATTAATATCAGAAGGGATCTCTATAGATATTATAGTAATTTCAATAGTTGATATCATGAGTCAACTGTTGAAATTTCTATAATATCCACGCAAAGAACCCTTTTGTTGATTGTTAATATTCGATTGTCTTTACATTTAAAGAGAATTGTAATAATTTTCTCATGTTAATCATATTAGTTTTTCTTTATGTTTTCATTATTTCTTTTTAGTAAAATAATTAACTTTGAAAGATGAATGAATCAATGAAGTCAATAGATTTGTTTCCTTTACAATTCTATCCATCTGTTCCATTTATTTATACACAATCACACATACACACACCTCCACACACCCACACCCACACACACACATTTCAATGAATCACATTCATTAATTGAACTGAACTATAAAAGTTACTCATAAGATATGTGTTGATATCATTATATGATCATAATCTCTTTTTGTCAAAGTATAACATGCACATATCATTTAGCTTATATATTAAGTTTATTCTTCATTACTTTTTATTATAACAAAAAAAAAGTCAAATCAATGAGGTGTAGATATATAATTAGAATAATTTCAATGATGGTTGCCTTGTTCCTCGTCTTCTTCTACTTCAATCGACAGTTCATATAGTTATTATTATATAATATGCCTAAAGGCAAATATAATATGATCATAACCACGTGATCAATTCTTGATATAATGGAATTCATTATGAATTTCATAGGAAATTTCAAAAGTTCTACAGTAATTTAATGAGATTTATCTATTCAATATGGTTAATATTCAATATAATTATTAATGTTTCACCTGTTTTCTGTTCAGATTATAGAATATCACATTTGTTTATGATAGTATAACATCATCATTGTTTAAATGTTTCTTTTTTGTTGTTGATGTATTTGATTTATACCTTTAGGCTATTTAAATTACATTGTCAAGTTTAATTTGATTATTTCATTGACTAAAGTGATGAGTAGTAATCATTTTCTTTTCTTTTTTCTCTTTTTCTTTTCTTTTTTCTCTTTTTTTCGGATGTAAAGTCATAAAGGTTAAATAAGCATTAATTAATTACCACCTAGTGAGTAATTGAAATGTATTACATAATGAATAAATTTAAATAAAAGAAAAATTAATACACCAACCCAATTAGAAATAAAAACAAAACAAAACAAAACGAGTAATTATTATTATTAATTGAATTAATAAAGGATAAGAAGTTAATAAACAGATGGTTTAAGGAGGGCGGAAAAGAATAGATCGTTCATAACCACTATTCATTTAATCTATTTACTTATTTATTTAAATTAAATAATTCAGATGTAGAGAATATGATTATCTAAGATGAACATTAACGAGTGAACATATTTGAAGAAGACCTATAAAAGTCATTAATGGAATAGACATTTGTTTTTGTCACTTTCTAATTTATACAAATAAGCAATGATAAATGATTATACCTTATGATTAAGAGTTATTTCTATAGTCATCATATGATCAAGTGTCATAGATAAATCGATTGAA